AATTAGATAAATCACCCTGACTTTTCCCTGACAGAAAAACCATCAATCTGGCAATGTAAACAAAAATCAGGAGAGCTTTCAACAGTCGTTTTGGAATAATGGGGATTCTCTTAGCAGCCACCGGGGATTCTGAAGGTCACTATGTGGAAGAGTCGCACTGTTCCTTACGGGCTTACAAGACAAAGGTAAAGGTAGGGCTTTCAATCAGTTGTTATTTATTTTTAAATAATACAAGAGGAAAAGCTTTCATATATCAAAGTCCCCCTCCCTCTACCAGGCCTAGAATTATTAGGACCCACATCTCCAAACAAGGGAGAAGCTGCCACCAAGCTTTCAGATGGATCCTAGGAACCCCTGCCCACTCCCTTTGACACTCCCCCCCCGCCCCCACCCAAGTACCTGGTGCTTATCTGCACTGCGTAAGTCAGCGCAGGCGCTTCTGAAAGCAGGGCGGGCAGTGGCAGTGTTCACCCAGGGCACAGTTTTCAAGGCAGAGATCTACTGCCCAGGCTCCAATAGTGGCCCCCTGGCCTAGGGGGCCAGAGCCCACATCTCCTACCCCACACTGTCCCAGCACATTCAGGTTCAAATGCCCCCCAGTCTGCAGTGCCCTCACAGGGAATCTCAGAGCTCAGTCCTGTATATGGCCTTATAACGTAAGTACTCTTCTAAGCACTGAAGGGCATTGTCATCCACCCTTGGGTCAAACTTGTTGGCCAACAGGTGATGGTTCTGAAGCATCCAATGCAGGTCCCCAACCCCATAAATACAGACAGACCGCTGGTGGATGCCAGAGCAAGGTGCATAAGGTGCCCCCTTACTAACTTCTCCTTCCATGTACTGCCACTTCACCAGCCTGGTGATGGAAGCCATGTCTGAGATGTGAAACTTGGAGTGGTGGGGAACAGAGCCAGGCATCCATGGTGCCCGCTGAAGGGTAGCCCACAGGTGTTCGTCAGGGCTGTAGGTGTCCTTTGCCCATTCAATGAATTGTCGGGATTTGGGGTTCTCGAAAATATGCTGAACAAAGGCTCGAGAAGCCACCATATAAGCATTCCCTGTGAACATAGGTATGTTGTCAGGGGGAGGATCCTTTTCTCTGTCAGTTCGGCGCACTATGTCGTTCACCTCATGGTGATACTTCCAACGAGATGCTTTGCTCTCACTAGGTATCTCTGACTCCATATTGTTCTTCCCTTTCAGCATCTTGAGGGCCAGGACAATCTCAGCATTGGTCTTTATGGGAAAGTCTGTCCCGCATGTATTCAGTAAGTATTTCCATGGCACAGGGCTCTGGAGCAAGTCTTCCATGCAGTTCAGGTCAGCCTGCACCCTGTACCAGGAAGCATAAACCACCCGAACCATCTTACTGGCCAAGAAGACATTTGAGAAGCATGAAGTAATTGCTTTGACTGCTTCTTTAAAAATGTCTGGGGACTTTGTATCCACGTGAACACAGTAGACGTTCTGAGGGGCATACACAGCTCTCAGTAGCCTTTCAAAAATCTCAATCTTTTCATGGACCACCATAGAGTATGCGATAGGGAATTCAAACTCACCTTTGCTAAGTGGGAATGGTATGAACTTTCTTTGAACCTTAAAGTGCTCACAGTCTCTGGTCATGTTGAGGTAGTCGGTTTCTGTGAGAGGCTTCCGCTTCTTCTTCTTCTCCAGCAGGTTGTCCAGCTGAGCCTCAATCACTGCTTCCTGGTCCCCTTGAATGATCCTAGAACAGTTGATTGATGTCTTTGCTGGCAGCTTCAGGGACTTGTACACAATGTCCCTACAGTGCAGGTTTGCCAAATCCAGGGAATTAAAGTCACATTTCAATCTGAGAGAAAGTTTCACTGCAACAATGGTCAGCAGTACGTAGCAGCCCAGGGCCCAGCGGTAATGCCGATGGCAAGCCCACTTCCACCAATTCATCCTCATGGATTAAGAGAGTGGTAGAGTTTGAGCAGAGAGGAGGAAGGTAGAATCTTTGGACAGAACAAAATGCCTTCGGTTATGAACTAACCCTGAATGTATTCACACAAACATCAAATTCAACACAAAGTAATGGTAAAAGGTATTCCTTACCTTAAGTCTTCAGTCAATGCCTGCCTTAGCAAATTCCTCAACCTGGCATGCTGACAGAAGTTAAAAATCTGACCCTACAAACTAGCTTACTATGCTGAGTTCTGGATCTAGTTCCACTTTCACCCCAGGAGAGAGAAAAGAAAGCAGAACTGAATACCTGCTCACAGTAGTGAAAATAGTGAGAGGAAGTCCCTGCCCTCATTCCTCATTCTTCCTTCTTACTACCCTGTTTCTAACATAGTTCTTACCTAGGGCCTAGAATGTCTGATTGTTCTAGAGAGAAAATTCATGGAATTTATAATCTCACCATCAGCTCCAAAGGTCCTTTGTTATAGAGTGCATTTCTTGTTCTTTGGCAACCTAATTATTAGGACTTTTCATCACATATAATTCATTGGTTAAATATGATATCTAGCCACTTCTATAAAATAGAAATCTTAAGTACAAAAAATTTGCTATAATCCAAAAGATGTATTATAATCAATACACGTTAACTCCTATCCAACATCAAAATAAATCTACATACAGAGCTTTGCATAATAACACTTAATCAACAATGAGCTAGAAATATTTCTTTACAAGTCGCGTGATTTTTTACCAACACATCTGAAACAAAGTCTTTTGAGGTCTCCTTAGACATCACACAGGCGAAGCAAATCTAAGGTCCTCCCCACAACCCTTCTCCCAGTCTTTTTTTCCTTTAAACCTAGTAGTGTTCCTTCAAACCAACACTACCTTTCCAATTTAGTACAGGGTACAGACCACCAAATACAATTAGACATTACAGGAAAAAATCCCTCCCAGTAAAGAAACAGAACATGACATATCCTTCCAGCAATGACTGACTTCTCCAATCAAATCATCTTTCTAAGCATAGGATTGTCTTCTCTTTAGAATAACTTTTATGGGAAGCTATGAGGAAAATTAAGAAAATTCTCACCTTTAACAGCTTATTTCCCTGCTTGGGGAAGCGCTCTTGCTACGGTGTGTTCTGTTTCCAAGGGAAGGCTGAGTGGGTTCCATGGAAGCAGATGTGTAAACAAGTCCCCCAATCTTTTTTCAGCCCCTCTAAAATATATATACTTTCTGATAGACACAGGACTTCCATGAAACTGCTTGCTCGTCCTTAATCTCTGCAAAGTGGAGAGCACCAAGTAGCTCTACCTTTCACCTCCAGTTTCCTGGTTTCAGATTAGAGAGCACGTTCAAAAAACATCATTCAGGAGTACATTCTCAAGAATGAATCATTCTGGGAGGTAAGTAAAGCAGGAAGAAACTGGTGATACCTGAGAAGGAAGCAGGTATTTCAAACAGAACATCTGAGTTTGTACCTGTACTCTCTTGCCATAAAACCACTCATAAAAAGCCCATCAATGATCACCAAGAACAACCCTCCCTTAACAGAGAAGTGACAGAAACACATACGTATGGCCCTGTCTTCTTTTGGAGTTCAGCAGTTGTTCTTTTGTTCCCTCAACATTACAGGAGTGAAGCAAGAAAAATACCTTTTAGAAATTTGTTTCTTTCATTGTTGTTCTTCAAATGGCAACTGACCCAATAAAAATCCTTTTTCTAAGGAACTCTCCTGCACTGCTGGTGGGAATGCAAACTAGTAAATCCACTATGGAAAACTGATTGGAGGTTTCTCAAACTGCTAAATATGGAGCTTCCATATGACCCAGCAATCCCACTCCTAGGTATCTACCCAAAAGACACAAAAACACTGATTCCAAAAGACACTTGCACCCCCATGTTTACTGTTGCTTTATTCACAATAGGAAAGACATGGAATCAACCCAAATGCCCAACATTAGATGACTGGATTAAAAAGAAATGGTACATATCAACAATGGAGTATTACTCAGCAACCAAAAAAAAAAATAAACACATGCCTTTTGCAGCAACATGGATGGAGCTGGAAAAGATCATGCTTAGTGAAATACGCCAGAAAGAAAAAGAAAAATACCAGATGGTTTCACTCATAGCAGGAATATAAAGGACCAGGAAGGAAAAAAAAAAAAAAACAACAATGAACAGCTATATACCAGAGACATTTTACGGGGGTGGAGTAAGGAATGGGATCAAAAATGGGTGGGGGTGGGGAGGCGCATAGGTGACTTGATGATGGGAAGCCCATGGGGATTACAACTGAGATGGAAAAAAGGCACAAAATGATGTAGAACTATTATATTTATATTATTATAAACTATTATAATTAAAAAATAAATCATAATAGATATTTAAAAATCCTTTTTCTTGATCTTTCTGTGACTGCTAATAATTATAGGTTGGAGAAATATCTACAGGGCTCCAGAATGGATCTCCCCTGACTAATGTTTGTGAGTTCTGAGTTCTTGGCTCTCTGAAGAATGACTACCACTATGGACCTCTGGAGTTCACTGAGTCGCCCAGGGATGGTTTTGGCAAAGCAATGCGGACAATGCCTTCTTGAAAGCTGCTGACATGGTTTGCCACTGCTTGCCTCTCCCCTCACTCCCCAACCACTCCAAGAAAACGACATTCCAGGTCAGACACTGTGAAGTAGTAAATTTAAGAACTTAACCAGGTATAAAGTTATTAATAAATGAAAATAGGGGTGGGGTAGTGAGATTATGCTAATGTAGGGGTTAAGGAGCAGTGGCCAGAAAAAATTGCTGTCTCCTAGGCTGGAAGAACAAGATTTGTAAATTATTATGCTGAAATTAGGGAAGAAGGATGCCCAATAAACTGAAATGCAGACTTCTGAGATGGGGACACTACTTGCTTGATGCTGGGGTCTCTGAACTGAACAGAAGCTCTCCTAAGCTGTGATTCAGCCCTCTTGTGAGGTGGCTTGGTGTCTGTTCCTCCACTACTGTAAACTGCAGTCATTGCGACTACATGAAGAAACTGTATTGGCCAGGTAAACAGGTGTTGGCATAGACTAGATACTCCCAGAAGCAGGAAGTAGACAGGAAGTGAGCAGAAAGTCACGCCTTCTACTTCTGTCTCCTTCTAGCACTTCCTGTTGGCAGAGCCTGAAAGTGGGCAGCTGGTAGAACACAAACCTGGTTTGCAGTCTACCTTTGGCTCGGAGAAGCTGAGTCCAAGAGGGTGGCTTTGAAGACAATAACATAATAACGAAGATCATGTAGAATTGGTTCTGTCCTACAAGAATTGTTTACACAACCCTCAGAATAGTGTAGGAATTTAGCTTTCCCCTCCTTTTGGGAACTTTTCGGCCTATTTCTCATTATAGAGGATGAAAGGCCAGTGACAGAGATTCATGAATTAGTTGTATTCTCCACCTTTACCCTCCCCACACTCCCTCAGCTCTCACTTACTCGGATGGAGTGATGCTGTTGGTCTGTTAAGATCTGAGGCAAAAATGGCCCTCCCTGGTGGCGCAGCGGGTTAAAGCACAACACTGAGAAGCTAAAGCCACTTCCACATGAGTTCAATTCTCGCCTGCCCTGGAGGAGACCACATGGCGTGGCAGACCTCTCCTGACCCGCCCGCTGCTCCCCTCAGCAGTGTACTTCCTCGATCTGCCTGTTCTGCTCCCCACTCTGTGCCTCTCGCCACCCCTGCACCTCTGGCCTGTACCCCAGTTCTGTATGCATAAATAAATAAATCTTTAAAAAAAAAATCTGAGGCAAAAACAATTCAAGATAAGCCCTCTAGTGTCTGAACCTAAAACAAAAAATTTCTGCATTTGTTTATATCTGATTTTTTTCTTAGGTGGTCACATCACTGAGTCTCTCAGTATCTGATTCTTAACATAACCAACAGGCATCTAGTCTTAAATGTTTAGTAAATGGTAATATGAAATTGTGAGTGCATTTTATTGAGAAAAACCTACAAATTAGAACACTAAGTGGGTTGCAATCCTGGGCACACCTCACCCTTGGCAGGTCAGAGCTAGAGCTGAACACTGGCTCTGCCACTTTCTAGGTGTGTGACGCGACCTGAACAAATTTTGTAATCTTTTAGTGGTTCAGTGACTTCTTTCAGCTAATAATAATGCCTAGAGTTAACAGAATTATTGTGAAGCTTAAACAAGATAACCATACATGATGGGTTTGGTTTAACATCTGCCATATGCAGCCACTTCCTGAACTTCAGAACTCTTGGAGTTCTTAAGTAAACTCCAATGTGTGCCCACAAATGTCTAGTTAGTCACAGAAAAGCTCAAAGAGGATACAAAAGTGGCACTGTTGACCTCTAATCAAGCAGAAGTACTGATGCTAGACAGGCAGGTAGAGGGAAAGAGCTGGAGTTATTCCCTTCTCTGTGCTCTGATAAAAGATGCAGCTGGAAGTGGTCACTTAATACAGCAGAGGCAAGGGATGAGCTGCAACTGACCCCAAGGCATGCAGGGCAGGGGACACAACTTCTGGGAAGCGACACAGGGAGAACAGCAGCCTGGCAACCTGCAGAGCTCAGGTGGCCGCTTAGAACGGTGGTCCAGCAGCTTCCACCGTGAAGTCCCTGAAGAGAAGACGGAGCACTTACAAGGGGGTGCCAGGCAAGTTTCAAGGTGAGAACCCAGAACCAGGGTGTGATCCCTCTCTATTTGGGAGGCTGCGGAAACAATTCTTGTAGGACAAAGCCAACTCTGCCTGATCTGTTACTATGTTATTGTCTTTGAAGCCCATCCTCTTGCGCTTAGATTTTCCAAGCCAAGGGTCGCTGCAAACCAGATTTGCACCCCGCCAGTTGCCCACTTTTAGACTATATAGCCAGATGAGCCTGGAGGCAAACACACCCAAGGGGCTGGGGTTACATGACGTATCTGGAAGTCCCAAGTACTGAAACGAGGCTACTCACTTCCCTCAAATCCCAAATAAAAGCAACATTAAACCCAATGATAA